AGAGAGACGAGAGAGAGGAGAGAGAGGGAGACACTCGGTCGACACAGGGCTCGAGCCCAGATCCCAGCAAGCGGTGCTGGCTCGGTGTCTCCGACCGATGGGCATTAGCATGAGCACCCCATCAGTCACCCTGCCACCTCTTGCATAATCTCATCAGCTCATGAATCTGGAACACAATTAGCAAAATGTCTTCCTATTCTTCCCCCTCCCCACCCACCGCACCCCCCCGCCCCCACCTTATTTGCGTCGTTCACCCCTTTTGTGATGACACCGTTCGGTTCTCGGGGCTTTCTGTTTTGTTTGCACCGCTGGGGCGCGCTGACCGCGGCCGGCCCTCCGCGGCCGCCCCTCCGCCCCTGATGTGGGCGGCATCGGTCGGGCGGTGCAACTGTGAGAAGAAAGTCGCCCAGTGGATGTACTATGGAGAGACTACCACCTCCTCCCCCTCCACCCCCGGTCTAATAGCCCGTCTAACCCTCAACCCCGAACCTCCGTCATAGGAATGAGGAATATCCAGTGCTGGCCCAGGGCCGCCAACAGAGAAAAGCAAAAATAAAACTATTTTTTATTTTACCAGGTAAGGCCCACTGAGTTGTGCAGCTCTTTTTTTTTACAACCGACCCAGCCACGAATGATTGCGCAACGGAGTGGCCGATCATCACGTGCAAATTTATAGCAGCAGCCAAATACGTGATGTTGATTCTAAATGTGGGAGGGAAAAAACCGGAGGACCTGGAGAAAAATCCGCATGACCACGGGAAGAGAGAACGTGCAAACTCCAAATATACAGCAGACGTCATCGTCGGGATCAAACCCACGACCTCCTGTATACCCGGCGAAGTAATGAAAACTTGGCCACCGTGGCCCTCTCGCTGAGGTGTGGCCCACGTTGTTGTGTGTCTATTCGCGATGATGGGACGTGGTGATGGGACGCGGTGACGATGGGACGCGGCGATGGGACGTGGTGACGATTGGACGCGGTGATGATGGGACGTGATGATGGGACGTGGTGATGGGATGCAGTGACGATGGAACGCAGTGATGATGGGACGTGGTGATTGGACGCGGTGATTATGGGACATGGTGACGATGGGATGCGGCGATGATGAGACGTGGTGATGATGGGATGCGGTGATGGGACGCAGTGGCCATGGGACGTGGTGATGGGACGTGGTGACGATGGGACGTGGTGACGATGGGACGTGGTGACGATGGGACGTGATGGGATACGGTGACGATGGGACGTGGTGACGATGGGACGTGGTGATTGGACGCGGTGACGATGGAACGCAGTGATGATGGGACGTGGTGATGGGATACGGTGATGATGGGACGCGGCGATGATGGGATGTGATGATGGGACGCGGTGACAATGGGACGCAGCGACGATGAGACGCGGCAACGATGAGACGCGGTATGAGTTGCTATGCCCTGCCGTGCTGCTCAGAGTGGAAGCTGTGGGAAAACTGCGGTGGATATAAAAAAAAGGCATTCCTGGCAAAGTTTGGATTTCGGCTGCCAGAGTTGCGACTCCAGCATGAGATGAACAGTGCAGGGCTCACTCGCTCGCTCACTCACCCACTCGTTAGCTCATTCACTCATTCACTCACCCACCCACTCATTCGCTCACTCGCTCACCCACTCGTTCACTCACTCGTTAGCTCATTAGCTCGCTCACTCACCCACTCGTTAGCTCATTCACTCATTCACTCACCCACCCACTCACTCGTTAGCTCATTCACTCATTCACTCACCCACCCACTCGTTAGCTCATTCACTCATTCACTCACCCACCCACTCATTCGCTCACTCGCTCACCCACTCGTTCACTCACTCGTTAGCTCATTAGCTCGCTCACTCACCCACTCGTTAGCTCATTCACTCATTCACTCACCCACCCACTCACTCGATAGCTCATTCACTCATTCACTCACCCACCCACTCGTTAGCTCATTCACTCATTCACTCACCCACCCACTCATTCGCTCACTCGCTCACCCACTCGTTCACTCACTCGTTAGCTCATTAGCTCGCTCACTCACCCACTCGTTAGCTCATTCACTCATTCACTCACCCACCCACTCACTCGATAGCTCATTCACTCATTCACTCACCCACCCACTCGTTAGCTCATTCACTCATTCACTCACCCACCCACTCATTCGCTCACATCGCTCACCCACTCGTTCACATCACTCGTTAGCTCATTAGCTCGCTCACCCACTCGTTAGCTCATTCACTCATTCACTCACCCACCCACTCACTCGTTAGCTCATTCACTCATTCACTCACCCACCCACTCGTTAGCTCATTCACTCATTCACTCACCCACCCACTCATTCGCTCATTCACTCATTCACTCACCCACCCACCCACTCACTCACTCGCTCACCCACTCGTTCACTCACTCGTTAGCTCATTAGCTCGCTCGCTCACACCCACTCGTTAGCTCATTCACTCATTCACTCACCCACCCACTCATTCGCTCATTCACTCATTCACTCACCCACTCACTCACTTGCTCGCCCACTCGTTCACTCACTCGTTAGCTCGTTAGCTCGCTCACGCACTCACCCACTCGTTTGCTCACTCACTTACTCGTTCTAAGACTCGCTTGTTCATTCGCTCGCTCGCTCACTCACCATCTCACTCACACACTTGTTCAAAGGTTCGCTCGCTCACTCGTTCAATCGCTCGCTCAGCCACTCATTCACCGACTGACTTGCTTGCTCATTCACCCTCTCACTCACTCGCTCACTCACTTGCTTGGTCCGTCGCAGCAGGCTATGTGTTCTGCTGCTACCCTGCATTAATCCATCTTCACGGGACACCTGGTGGACTGTTATGATTGTATTGAAGAGGTAATTAGTTTAAAATTATTGCACCTTAAAAAAATATACAGAGTGAAGCAGTGCATTCCAATCGTGAAGTCATGAGTTTGAATCCCAGCCAGGGTTAACTCATCTCAATTGTCAGCATTATCATCATCCTCAGCCGATGACCAAATCATCTAGGACCTCGTCAGATCTCCAAAGATAATCAGAGTTTAGAGTGGATAGTCCTTGGATGGGCGACCACCAAGCGCAACAGGTTGATGGGAGCGGTGGCACGGTGGTTAGCGCACCGCTGTTGGTACCGCTCAGCACCAGCACTGATGAATATCTTGAATCATCGACTCAGCCCAAATTGAATATCTGCCGCTGCGTGCAAATATTTCCACTTGGGGAGACAATGGGGGCCTGGTGCCGTGCCGGCCTTCACAGGTTCGACTCACCAACAGCACTTTCCCCAACAGTCTGTTAAGGCTATACAGTGTTGGGGGGGGGGGTTCCATTGCGAGTGCGCGCAATGGAACTGCTAGCCGTGGTGAATATATCTCTCTCCCTCCGAGTTGACGTAAAACAAACGGGTCTATCCCCCTCGGCCCCGGACTGGCAGGCCAGGTACAGTGTGGGAAACGTGACGCGATTCCAAACTCCCAGGCCCGAATTCCGATAACGGCGTCCGTATCGCGGGCAGCAGCTTGGTTCTCGCGTCTCAAACTCCTCCTCCATTCCAATGCCCCCCAACCCACACCTCCTCCTCATCTCTCTCCCCCCGCCTCTCCCCCCCCCCATCACCTTCCACCCACCGCCTTCACCAAGGTCGTGTCTCACTCGCTCTCACTCTCTCTCTCTCTGCATCTTTCACCCTCACTCCGCCGCGTTCGATTCAATCCTATCTCCTGCCCCCGACCTGGAGATTTCTTGGCACGACTGGAGACCCCGTTAGCTCACGCCGCAAGGACCCGCTTCGTTCTGCCACAACAGACGCACTCAAATCACAAGTCCATCAGTCCGGCAGCCTCCGGTTCTGGAGCCGCGTGTGGCTCTTCAAGCGACTCCCGCTTCGTGACCGTTATTCATTGAGGGCCCGCCGTCTCGTATTCACCACGTTGCGTTGCGGCTCTTCAAATGTTGAGGGTCTTTTTTTTTTTGACCGAATTCAGGAAAAAAAATGGCTCTTCTTGTTGTTGGTGGTGGTATGGTTGCCGACACCTGAGCTAGGCCACGACTTCGATTCTAGGACGAAGCCAACCCGAAAGTCGAAGCGCGATCGTCAGCTTCATACGAACACAATGGAAGCCTCACCCCTGACTGTAACCCTAAACATGAATCCGACTCTAACCCCAATGCAATCGTGGACTTTAATTCCAACACAAACCCGACCCGACCCTCAATTCACAATCATCAGCTCCGACACGCACAATAAACCCAACTCTAACCTCCAATTACGTTGTGACTGCTCTCAAACCCAACTGCAGCCTCTTCATGCGAACGCCAACCCTAAACCTCACACTCAAGGCCCTGAACACGGTTCTATCTCCAACACTAACCCTCGCGATTAGAACCCTAGGATTCACGCTAGGAGCTAGTGTGAGATAGTCTTTTTGTTTTTTTTTTGCTTACAACGGAGACGGTGTGTCCATCTCGCTCATGGACGGACGAGTCTAGTGACGGAATGGCGGTCTGAGGAGGGAGGCGCGCACGCCGTGAGAAGGTCACCGAGGGATGAAGCGACGAGCTCGGCTCACGCGTGCCAGCGGGATGGATCGTGGCATCGCAGGGCCGTGTGGCATAGCGACAGTGTGGGGAGGCCGTCATCCAGCAGTGGATAGGCCTTGGCTGCTGCTGCTGCTGATGACGACGATACTGATTAAGGTCAGAGTTAGCGATCGGGTTACGCAGAGTCGAATGAATGTTTAGGGTTCGGGTTGAGATTAGGGTCAGGGTTAAAGTGAGGGTTCTGCTTAGGGTTACATAATTAGGAATGTAATTAGGGTTATCGCTGAGGTGAGGGTTAGATTTAGGATTACGATCAGGGTCAGTGGTTAGGGTTAGGTTTAGGGTTGAGGTTAGGGTTAGAGTTGGGACGATAGTTCGGGTCAGGGGTCAGGGGTTGGGGATAGTCGACCCCAGCGCGACCCGCACCGCCCCCCCCCCCCCCCCGAGTGGACTCACGTCAACCTCGCCGTGATCGATGACGTAAAAGTTGTCCCCTTCGTCGTCTGCGGAGAAAGAAAAAGACAAGGGACGAAAAAATTAATCAAGGGATGGCCGCGATGGCAGCCAAGGAGGAGGACTTGGGGGAGGGTGGGGGCTGTTGGTAGGGAGAGGTGGGGGGGGGGGGCAGTAGACAGCGGGTAGCGGTGGTGGTGGGGGGGGGGGGGTTGAATGAGCCGACTCGCGCACGGTCACACGCGCACCGGAACGTAAAGCCGGACAAACGGCGGGACGCACCACTGCCCCATAAACATTGCACAAAGATATCGTTGTGTTGGCGGCGGGGAGAGCACAAAGGGGCCATCGAACATCCCAGCCCCCCCCCTCTCTCCCACCCACCCCCGCTCTCCCCCCCCCCCCAGCTCAAACATCTCCATCATTACACCCACCAGCCCCCCCCCCCCCCCCCCCCCCCCCACCATCAGCGCCACTCCCTACCACCCACAAATGTCCCCCGTATAGCCTTAACAGACTGTTGGGGCAAGTGCTGTTCGCGAGTAGCACCTATGAAGGCTGGCATGACACACGAAGAGGTTTGGTGGCCACCACCATGCCCAGCCGCCTTTGTCTCCATCGTGGCGACATGTACATATCGCACCGGGAATTGAACTCGGGTCGCCGTGTTCCTAGCGCAGCGCGCTAACCACTACACTACCGCTCCCCTACCACCACTACCGGCACCACGCTCGCTGCCAACACGACCGCAACCACCACCACTGACACCACCACCATTGTTACTATCAGTCATTGCGCCACCTCGATCACAGTTACCGCCACAGCCACTGGTTCATTCTACCATGGCAATCATTGCCACCACCAATGCCACCACTCCAGCCACAAAAAAACTACGACTGGACCTCTACCGCAAGCACGACTACAGCCACCATTACCAATAATGCCACTGCCACCACCACCACCACAAAAAAATAAAGATGCCCAGTATAGCCGACATCGTTCTGCTGTGGAGCACCTGTAAATGCTTCCCTACACGCAGCAACTTCACCACCACCACCGCCGCTATCACCCCCCTCCGCCTCCACCCTGCCCCCCCCCCCATGCCACTTGGCAGGTGCTCAGTCGGCAGTGAAACCTCCCAGTGTGCGATGGCCACAGGCACGGCCCCCCCCCCTGTCCCCCCCTCGTGCCGGGTGACAGAGGCCACCATTGTTAAGGACAGAGTCTCCCTACTCGGTCAAAAATGCATCTCTTACACCACCCCCCTCCACTCCCACCCACCCACTAACCCCCTACCCCCACCCCCCTCCCTTCACTCATACCCCCCCCGCCCCCTCACTCCCATCCGTATCTTTGCATCTCAAGCCTGGTCAATGCTGGCTGGCTTGTCAAATTTGGCTGTTAAATTATTTTCTCCAATGACAACAAAGAAAATGACTTGTTAGCTCGATGGGTTTTACTGGGGGAAATAAAAACTTCTCCCCGAGGCGCTGCGAGACAACGGATCCGTCGTCGGGAACTGTTGCTGACTTCCCCGCAAAGCGGTACTCGTTTTACCGACCCCAGAGGGATAATGGGCCGAGTCAATCCCTAGCCAGGATTTGAACGCGCGACCAGTTTGGTTAAATTCCTGCACTGGCAACTGGCCACACGTTTGATTGACAAGTGACTCTGCGGATGACGCAAAAGGGAAAACCACCCCCCCCCCACCCCAACGTTTAATGAGAAGCTATCGAATTGATTTCAAATGTCCACGGGGGATATTCTCTGACACCTGACACGGACGGGGTGGTGCGCCGCTCACTGTCAAGACTTCCCGGTGGAGATTTATCACGGCAACGTGAGACCGAGGACGCAAGTGGGGCTTGGGGCAGGACGCGTCGCCGCGCGGGACGCTGGCCGGCGGTCGAGACTGACCGCAGAGTGGCAGCCGAAGGAGGGAAACGCACTCGAAAAGTGAGCGTCCACTGCGGAGATGGAGCAGCGGAATGAGCTCGTGCGAGCGGGCCGCCGGATGTATCGTGTGCAGGTCCGCGAACGATGACAATGGGTTCGGGAGGTGTTCAATGCAGCAGTGGATAGATCGTGACTCACGATGATATCTGTTTGAATGCATCTTTATCTGCTCCTTGGGCCTGCTCACCCTCCTGACCTCCTATCCCTATCACACAACTGCCCTCAACTATCTCCACCACCTAACCACAAATGCCTTCCAACTGCCCCCCTAAAGCACATCGCAGCTGCCCCCCAACTGGACCCCAACTGCCCCCCTCCCACCCCACCCAAACTACACCACAGCTGCCCCCCAACTGCCCGCCCCCACCCCACCCAAACCACACCACAACCACAACTGCCTCCCAACTGCCACCCCAACTGCCCCCCCCACCCCACCCCACCCAAACCACACCACAACTGCCCCCCAACTGCCCCCTCCAACTGCCCCCCCCCCCACTCCCACCCCACCCAAACCACACCACAACCACAACTGCCTCCCAACTGCCACCGCACGGCACCACCACCAAGAGCCCGGGTCATTTACATCTCAAATTCAGTCCACCCAGGGGAGCTCTCAAAACAACAGCCGCTGGGCGTGCGCTCTCAATCGCTCGTTACCCCTCCCCCCCGACCCCCCTCTGCCCGCCCTCGCCTCCCAACCCCCGGCCCCGGCGCTAACCCCGACCCTCACCCCATGCGCGTCGATCCAGCGCCACTCTTAGTGGGGCTTTTAGCGGCCGTGTTGGGAGTCACGCAGGTCCCGTGTGGGTAACCCGCACGCGGCTAAGAGAGCTCTCCCAGCCGGGGTCGGACTGAGAGGCAAGTATATGTGAGTGTGTGTGTATATATATTATACGTAAAAAAGTATGGTCAAACAATGTGGGGAGCGGTAGTGGAGCCGTTAGCGCACTGCACTACCTGCTCATGGCCAACACCGGTGACGATTATTTGAACCGGGCCTGGGCCTCCCCAAGGTCGACTCAGTCTCAAATGAGCACCTGGTGTGGCATGCAAACATCGCCACTGGGGAGACAAAGGCGGCAGGGCGTGGTGCTGGCCACCCACCCCCTCATGTGCTGTGCAAGCCTTCATAGGTGCTCGCTAACAGCACTTGCCCCAACAGTATGTTAAGGCTACACGGGGGATCTTTGTATTTATATATATTCATGGTTAACATCAGCGGCAAGTGATATCTTAACCGGTTCTGGGGGGCATGCCCCGACCTCCCCTCCCCCCCTCCCCTCCACTTTCATCAACCCACATTGACCAGCATGGTGAAGTATGGTCAAACAATCCCCTTGAACTAGCATTACATATAGTGGAGGCCATCATCCAGCAGTAGATTTGCAAACGGATGTAATTTTTGCATGAAAGGGTCACCAGTGGTAATCCTATAGGCAGCCTATCACCGCGCCTGAGAAATGTGGAATTTCCATCACTAGCCTGGGACTGCCATCTTAGGCGAGCTGTGCAGAGGGGCACCGTAGACTTCGTCTCTGAGCAACGAGGAAGCCAAGGTGAAAGATTCAAATCGGCCACGCGACTGCGGTAGGGATCCAACCGATGTCCTCGTCCTAAGCGTCTCGTTTGGGAGCAGTGTTTACTTTCCTCAAATTCCCTTTCAATTTGCGCTGAATGCCCAGCGGGCAGGCGGGCGGGCGGGCGGGCGGGCGGGCGGGCGAATGGGCGATGAGTGAGACACTGCCTCTGTTTGCATCTGTGGCCTCCCTCGGAGACGGCAGAATCAAGAACGCAGCTCCCGAGCCTCTGCGCAGCACTCCAGGCCCCTCCCAACAACCGGGCTGCCCCTTGCGTCCGGAAGCGCGCGTTCCTGCTGCGCGCCGGCGGGGTGTCGCTGCCGTTCCGAGCTGCAGTTTTGCATCCTCGGTGCCAGGACCCAGCCGTTTTGTGGCCCGCGGTTTTTTAGCCGTGAGCGGCTCGAATCGAGCTGTTTTCAGCGGCCAAATCCGATGATGCCGCCATCGCCTCCTTCCCTTCTGGTTGACTGAGGTCAAGATCGAGACGTCATCATGGCCACGTGGCTGTTGATGCCATGACACACCTTGACCCGTCAGGCTTTCTACCCTCCGCCAGATGCAGCAGCTGCTCGGCCAGTGCGTGATAATGAGTGCATGGGTGTGAATTAGGTAATCGTTATTAGTTGGGCATTAGATCGGTTTGTAGCGGTGCGGCGCTTCGTCGGGTCAAATTCTATTTTCTCTCTTCGCTCCCAGCGGCGGTTCCTGCGTCCGCACGCAACGGTGCCCAGAGCGCGCTCGTTTCGTCGGCTCATTTCTTGATACAGTAGATGATTGTGACTGCGATCAGAACTTAGTACAAGCACGAGCAATTAATCAACAACAAAAATTCGGTTACCAACAACAAAATTCCCATTTGAAAAATTCGACTTTTTGTTTTTTTTGAGGCCACGATCTGACCTGGACAGCGAGCAAAATCATCCAATGGCAGTGCTCGGCTGGTGCCAGTCGCTCGCTGGCGACACGCAATGACACAATGACACGTATCATTTTTGAATCACCATCATCGATCCACTGCTGGATGAAGGCCTCCTCAAGCCCCCGTGGCCATTTCTCACAGCGGTTGTGTTCATGAAGGGGGGCGACGGGGGAGTGGGGGCGGTTGTTTGACCACAGCACTGCATACTGGACATGATACTGATTCTGCACCACACCGGTCAGTTGAATGGGGGGGGTGGGGGGGGGCACGATTTGTTTGGGTCTACGCAGCTCCCACGCCAAAGCCAAGACGGTGGCCCCTTAATGTTAATGTAATTTATATAAATGACATTTATATAACCTATATAGAGCGCCGTCACTCAAGGCGCTCTATGACGGAGCTTACAAAACGGTGAGACAGAATGGAATGGTGTAGATGGCAGGGGCGTGCTACAAGGATTGAGGAATCGGCGACAGAGATAGAGGGGTACTTGGGGATCACGAAAAGGGGGGGGGGGAGGGACGGGAAGGAGTGGAGGGGCGAGCGGAGGGAAGAGGAAGAGAATGGGCGATGGAGAAGAGGCGAGGCTTTAATTCAGGACCGGAAGGTTAAGGAGAGGGACTGCTCCATGGACAGAGGCAGTGTTGAGTCTATGGGGGAGTGGTGAGTCTATGGGGGAGTGGTGAGTCTATGGGCAGTGCTGAGTCTATGGGCAGTGCTGAGTCTATGGGCAGTGCTGAGTCTATGGGCAGTGCTGAGTTTATGGACAGTGCTGAGTCTATGGGCAGTGCTGAGTCTATGGGCAATGCTGAGTTTATGGGCGGTGCTGAGTCTATGGGCAGTGCTGAGTCTATGGTGCAGTGCTGAGTTTATGGGCGGTGCTGAGTCTATGGGCAGTGCTGAGTTTATGGGCAGTGCTGAGTCTATGGGCAGTGCTGAGTCTATGGTGCAGTGTTGAGTCCATGGGCAGTGTTGAGTATATGGGCAGTGCTGAGTCTATGGGTAGTGTTGAGTCTATGGGCAGTGCTGAGTATATGGGCAGTGTTGAGTATATGGGCAGTGCTGAGTCTATGGGCAGTGCTGAGTCTATGGACAGTGCTGAGTCTATGGGCAGTGCTGAGTTTATGGGCAGTGTTGAGTATATGGGCAGTGCTGAGTCTATGGGCAGTGCTGAGTCTATGGACAGTGCTGAGTCTATGGGCAGTGCTGAGTTTATGGGCAGTGTTGAGTCCATGGGCAGTGTTGAGTCTATGGGCAGTGTTGAGTCTATGGTGCAGTGTTGAGTCTATGGTGCAGTGTTGAGTCTATGGGCAGTGCTGAGTCTATGGTGCAGTGTTGAGTTCATGGGCAGTGTTGAGTCTATGGGTAGTGTTGAGTCTATGGGCAGTGCTGAGTCTATGGTGCAGTGTTGAGTCTATGGGCAGTGCTGAGTCTATGGGCAGTGCTGAGTCTATGGGCAGTGCTGCTCAATGTACAAGGGAAGTTGATTCCAGTGGAGGGGTGCAAGGAGGGAGAAGAACCGAAAACGAGATTGGGCACCAGGAGAAGGGACAGAGAGAGAGAGAAGTGCATCTGCATGCGCGCAATGTGGTGACCGCTTTTGTTCAGTGCTTAGCCAAAAGCCACCGCTGCGAGGGTGACTCGAGTTCACGTGACAACGGTTCACGCTCCTTGACGAGACGTGGCGAGCGATGCTCCTCTCTCCTTCGCAACATCGCCGCGGCCGTCCCCAAGGAAGGAGCTTACCGAGAGAGCATCGCTCGTCCCGTCGAACTGTGAGAACCGCCACATCAGAGTTTTAGTCTGCCCGTCGTCTCCGTTGTCAACGCGAGAAACAGAGGGCAGCACGGGGATCGAGGATGCGGCCGTGGCGGAGAGAGGACGAGAGAGCGATACGGCCGACCGTGGAAACAAGTTTGATGACGATGGTCGGGAGAGAAGAAGGAAAAGAAAGGGGGGGGGGGGGGGGGGGGGGGAAGTGAAGAGTACGCGTCTGCGGTCGTTACCTTGCCGTATGACCGTCTCGCCGGCGATGTGGGTCACAGGGAACATCGCGTCGAAGATGTCACTGCGAAGGAGGAGACAGAGAAACGGCAGCCAGACGCGCGCACTCGTTTTACGACAGAAAACAACGCACGTGAAATGTCACCGTTTTAATATCCCACCGCCACCCTGCCGTCGGTCGCAAACGCCTTCCCTGCTGGATGCTTCGTCCTTTGATTACATCGTCCGCAACTCTCAACGGAGGGGGAAAAAATGAGTGGAATGGGGAAGAGAGATGTAGACTGTGTGCGCTGGTAGAAAGTCAGTGTAAGCGCTGTGGTTCAGTGCAGTGCTGGATTATCCTCGTAGCAAAAGTAGCGACATAATGCCCCGCGCTAAATGCTTTCAGCCTATCAATTCCGGTTCAGTGATTCTGCACTTGCTCTATTACTATAGTACTATACCGCCTTCAACTTTTATCAACGACTGGGTGTTTAAGGTTAGTGATGTGTCGTATTATCTGGATGTATAGCAAGTGAAAAAATACAATTACTTTACTATGCAAGTAAAAAATGTACGTGTTAATATTTACGTTTTTTTTATTTAGGGCTCCTTTATAACAACACATGCTACAGGCCCCGAACTAGCTTAATCCGGCACTGGTTCAGTGTCTCCGGCATGGCCATCAAGAACCCCACTGCGAGAGGCACGGACACCACCCGCCCCCCTGCCCGCCTGGTCAGAGTTTAAACAGCGGGAAGAGTGACGACTGCCTGCGGTGCCTGGGCGCAAACTGTCACTCACCCCCACCCACTGGTCCCTCCGCAGTGCGTCAAAGACAAAGATCCTCAGTGTAGCCTGAACAGACTGTTGGGGCAAGTGCTGTTAGCGAGTAGCACCTATGTAGGCCGGCATATTACACGAGGGGGTGGGTGAACAGCACCACGCCCGGCCGCCTTTTTCTTCCCAGTGGTGATGTGTCCACACCACACCAGGAACTCATTTGAGGCTGAGTCGACCTGGGGGAGGCCCAGGACTGGTTCAGATAATCGTCACCGGTGTTGGCCGTGAGCGGGAATCGAACTCGGGTGACCAGGTTCGTAGCGCAGCGTAGTGCTAACCGCTACACTTCTGCTCCCCACAGACTCAAACACACGCGTGCAGACAAGACGAAGACAAAGATCCCCCGTATAGCCTTAGATCACTGTTCAGGCAAGTGCTGTTAGCGAGTAGCACCTATGAAGGCCGGCACAACACGAGGGGGTGGGTTTACCAGCACCACGCCCGGCCGCCTTTGTCTCCCCATTGCCGATGTTTACACACCGCACCAGGCACTCATTTGAGGCCGAGTCAATTTAGGGGAGGTCCAGGACCGGTTCACATATGTGTCACCGGTGTTGGTCGTGAGTGGGAATCGAACTCAGGTCTCTGTCGGGCTCATAGCGCACCACGCTAACCGCTACGCGCGTATGCACACACACGCGCTTCCATACGCATCTGCACAAACATTACATTGACGGACGCATGCACACACATTGTGACAGGCACATACCCTTGCGGTCTCCTGCACGTGCAGTGAAACCTGGAAATCCAATGAACCTGCACACCCCATGTTGTTATAGCCAGCACCTGCTGTGGGGAGCGGCGGTGGGGCAGCAGATAGCTACGCTGCGGCTACGAATCCGGCGACTCGAGTTCGATACCGGCTCACGGCCACCAAACACCAGCGACGATTATCTGGACCGGTCTTGGGCCTCCCCTAAGGTCGACTCTGCCTCAGATGGTGTGATGTGTAAACGATGTCACTGAGGAGACAAAAGTGGTCGCACGTGGTGCTGGTCACCCACCTCCTCGTGTGCCATGCCTTGCCTTCATAGGTGCAAACAGCACTTGCCCCAACAGTCTGTTAACGCTATACGGGGGACCTTTGTCTACTGCGATGAATGCCGGCTTGGCACGGCAGTTCCGAGGTAGGCATTGGTGCCTCGTGCCTCTTTGTCTGCCTAGTGCCGATGTTCACACTCGGCACCAGTGGCTCACTCAAGGCTGAGTTGATCTAAACGAAGGTCCAAACAAGCTTCGGTCATCACCGGCCACTACGTTGTGCGTGGCCGCCAACTGAACTCCACGCCGCGTGCAAACAACCTGCGATTTCGCTTCCCATCTTCTGCGTGTGCACACAAGTGCGCGTGCGTTTGCGCGCGTGCGTGCGTGCGTGCGAGTGCGTGTGCACTCGTGTGTGCACACGCTTTTGAGTGTCAGGGTCAGATTTCAATCTCGACGCACGCACACGACTGGGAATCGAACCTGTGGTCCCGAAACGTCAGCGCAGCGCGACAAACCGCCGCGACTCCGGTCCGAATTTGTGCGACTCGGGTACAAAGTCACGCACGGGCAAAAAACACAAAATTGCTGGAAGCGAGCACCGATAAAGGCCGGCACGGCACACGAGGGGGGTGGGTGGCCAGCATCACGCCCGGCCGCCTTTGTCTCCCAGTGGCGATGTTTACACACCATGCACCAGGTATTCTATTGAGGCTGAGTCGACCTAGGGGAGGCCCAGGACCAAATCAGATCATCGTCACCGGTGTTGGCCATGAGCGGGAATCGAACCCGGGGCCTCTGCCAGGTTCGTAAAGTGGCGTGCTAACCGCTACGCGAGCACTCACCGCAACGCACACACACACACAGACAGACACGCAGATGCACATACACGCACACACGCACAGATAGACACGCAGACGCACACACACGCACAGACAGACACGCAGACGCACACACACGCACACACACGCACACACAGACAGACACGCAGACGCACACACACGCAGACACACGCACAGACAGACATGCAGACGCACACACACACACGCACAGACAGACACGCAGACGCGCACACACGCACACACACGCACACGCACACACACACACGCACAGACAGACACACACACGCACACACACGCACACACAGACAGACACGCAGACGCACACACACGCACAGACACGCAGACGCACACACACGCAGACGCACACACACGCACACACGCACACGCACGCACAGACAGACACGCAGACGCACACACACACACGCACAGACACGCAGACGCACACACACGCACACACACGCACACACGCACACGCACGCACAGACAGACACGCAGACGCGTCGAAAGCGCAAGCGGTAGCGGCAGCCTCCCGGTGTCCTGTCGCTCACTCGGAACAAACCCCCGGGCCAGAACGGGCGGGCGGCTTTGAGGCAGGCATCCGGCCAAACAGCTCGTCGTGGCACTAATGAAACATTCCGAGGGGTTGGAGCAGGTGAAGAAGAGAGAGCAAAGTCGCGGGGAGGGTGGGGGAGGGTTAAATAAATATAAAATAAAATGCGTGCGATGTCCGGGCAAGGTGATCTGCTGAGCCGGCAGGCGCGACTGCGCAACGGAGGCGGACACACGGGGAGACACACGCACACGGGCACACGAACACACACGGGGAGACACACAGGCACACGGGCACACACGGGGAGACACGCGCACACGGGCACACGAACACACACGGGGAGACACACACACACGGGCACACGAACACACACGGGGAGACACGCGCACACGGGCACACGAACACACACGGGGAGACACACAGGCACACGGGCACACACGGGGAGACACGCGCACACGGGCACACGAACACACACGGGGAGACACACACACACGGGCACACGAACACACACGGGGAGACACGCGCACACGGGCACACGAACACACACGGGGAGACACGCACACACGGGCACACGAACACACACGGGGAGACACGCGCACACGGGCACACGAACACATACGGGGAGACACACAGGCACACGAACACACGTGGAAACACACACGGGGAGACACGCGCACACGGGCACACGAACACACACGGGGAGACACACAGGCACACGAACACACGTGGAAACACACACGGGGAGACACGCGCACACGGGCACACGAACACACACGGGGAGACACACAGGCACACGAACACACGTGGAAACACACACGGGGAGACACGCGCACACGGGCACACGAACACACACGGGGAGACACGCGCACACGGGCACACGAAACACACACGGGGAGACACACGGGCACACGAACACACGTGGAAACACACACACGGAAACGTGGACACACGGGGAGACACACACGGGGACACACAGACGGACGAGTCCCATTGAGTCATCGAAAACAAAAACGGCCATCAAAAAAACGCGGGCAACTGCTAAAGTTCACGAGCCAAAACCGAACCTAAATTAAACGTGTTCCTCAAACGAGAAAACGATTCCCCTTTTAACCGGTTGAAAAACTTGAATCCCGAATATAAATATTGCCATGTAGCAGCTGGGGCATTTAAATCGCCACGATTCCTCAGCCGATTCATTTAGTCCGCTCGAGAGGCCACGTCTGCCGTGGGGCCTCGGAGAGAGCTCGAGGATACGCGCGGTGAGAAGGCGGCAACTCACCGAGACTCAGACAGTGGCACGAAGACACAGATCCCCCCCGTTTAGCCTTTACAGACAGGTCGGCATGGCACACAACGGGGGTGGGTGGCCAGCACCACGGCCGGACCGCATTTGTCTCCCCATTGGCGATGTTTACACACTGCACCACGTACTTTTTTGAGTCCGAGTCGACCTAAGGGAGGCCCAGGACCAGTTCAGATAATCTTTACCAATGACGGCGAACTTGGGTCGCCAGGTTCGTAGCACAGCGTGCTAACCGCTGCACTCCCGCTCCCCGCACACGCGCACACACGCGCGCGTGTGTGTGCGGGGTGGTGGTGCCGGGGCTGGCCACGGGCACACTGGGTAACGAAACTATTTTTTTTTACTATTGCTATTTTACCAGGTAAAGCTCACTGAGCCATGTAGCGCTTTTTCAGAAGCGACCTGGCCGCAAATGATAGCTCAACGAAGTGGCTCATCACGTGGAGGGAAAAACCGGAGGACCCGGAGAAAAATCAACACGACCACGGGGGAGAAAGGCACACAAACTCCAAATATACAGCAGGCATCAAAGGTCAGGGGTCGAACCCACGACCTCCCGTTTACCA